TAGGGACCATATGAAAGTGCTCGTTGATACAAGTGTTTAAAAATAAATCTATAAAATATTATATTCAGTAGACTCCCTCTTATCCGGACTTTTCAGGACAGAGGCCAGTCCGGATAGCGGTTAAACCGTCCCCAAAAACTTGTTAAACCGGACCGTTTGAATGCATAGTGTATAAGCCAATAATGATTATTACGTATTTAGACACGTGATTACTGGTCTCAAATCTTTCCCACAAGAACAGACGTTTCAGTACCGCCCACTTCCTGCCGATCTAGTCCGACTAAACCGATGTACTGATAAAAAATTGTCCGGTTAAAGAGATGTCATTTCCGCCAAGTGTAGTCCGGTTAAAACGTGTCCGGATAAGAGGGAGTCTACTGTAGCTGTATTGCTGGTTTGACGTGATAAAAGTCTTAGGTTTTAGATGGTTTGAAACTGGACCCAGCTGTTTTTGATCATGGGGCTCAAAATGAACGGTTCTGGTCTTAAGAAGCAAACAAACAAAGCTGTTACCTAATTCATTCAACTATCATCCATCACTAATTTTTGCGGTTGAATACACACCTTGTGTGTTTGTGTAGTCTTATAATTTCACCAAACGATTTATGAGGATAAGTACTCTATCTAAATCTAAAAAGTCCTCACAATCTTGCTAGCGAATTCCCGAAGAAGCTATTAAAGTAAGCAAACACTATTTGTTGAAATTTGTATTTATGTAAAGTAAATACTTATCTATCTATTTATATATTTTTTAAATATTATATGTGTCTGTGAACATGATAACTGACTCAAATTCTGGTCTGATTTTGATGAAATGTGGAATGAAAGTGTAGAGCTGGATAAACTTGAATGAATTTGCAAACCAGCAAGATCCGGTCATAGGCAAAGGGGTTTTATAATGTTTAACTTTTTTTAAACTGGTTTTTAAACAATTGTTTACTTTTAAAATAGGGGAATGCCCAATTTTCATCATCCCCTTAAGAGCTTAAAAAACAGAACAATTTAGTGCATCAAAGCATTGTTGTACAATTAAAAGTTTTGAAGAAAAAGGTAACTGTTAGTGTTAAAGTTTGCTTCATCCTATAATATTAACATTTAATTTTTCAAAACACTTTTTCCCTTTCCCCAGCAAAAAACCTGAGTAGGTACCATATTTGTTACATCAAACGTAATTTAAATGGGGAATAAATATGACTTCTTCATGGAAATAATTTTGTTAAAATCCATTTAGACAAATTGAAAATTTCTTAGTCTGCGGGGGGGAGGGGGTTTAAAATGTACAAAATGAAATGATTTTCAATTGAACCCTTGTTATCAGACCCTGGCAGCAGTAGTGATGGAGATAATGCACGGTGCTATTGAGCCAATAAGCCCCCTATATGACAGCGGCATCATGGAGATTTTGGGACTTATGCTGGACCGAGATCCCCTCAACCGACCGAGCGTTGACGACGTCCTCTCCCATCGCCTGGTTGCTCCGGTAGCTCTGACGATCATCACTTCACTTGGCAGTTTGGCTAAGAGAACTAACCAAACCTAACTGATACTGGAAATCACATCAACTTTGTTCACAATGATGATTTTGTCCAGTTTTTTTTAACTTAATCTGTAATGAGAGTATTTCAAGGATATTTAAAAATGTAAACATAAATTTATTTAAATATACTGTTCGTTCAGATGTAGATTTTTTTATGTATGCTTTAGAACTTAAAACTATTAGGGAAATTGCACGTACCCATGTGAATAGTCAATTTGTCCTGATATGTATCTTTACTTTTATTTATTGATTAAAACAATTTAAAATTGTCAGTTAACAAACACTAAGCGTAATTTTGTAAATACTATTTAATTTATATTATATGAAATTTTTATTAACCTCGAGTGTCTTATTTCACGTTTAAATTAAAAACTCTACAGTCCCCTCCCTTCAAAAGATTATTAAGGATATTTACTTAAGCTAAAAACTATTGGTAAGTTATAGGAGATAAATAAAGGTTGAACACTTTTTACTAGAAATAAGTGTATGTATTTTTTTATATACACAAGTTTAAATAAATTGTTGTAAATTGTAGCTGTTATTGCTAAAATAAAAATTCACTTTCCAAGCTGGTCGAAGAAAGGTAAAGGTGCATTATGCAATCAACAATTGTTTGAAGTAATTCTGTGAATAAAACTTGATTACATTTTAAACCGTCATATCAAAATACGAGGGTCGTTTTTGTGTAGGCTATAGCTACATAGTTCACGGGTACGCAGCAACGAGGCTCCTCGCCGCTTACTGGTATAATGTGGCGTACACAACAGCTACAGAGCTGCAAATGGTATCCATTCTGTTCTCAAATGATGCCAGTAAGCGTTGAAGTGCCTCGTTGTGACGGCAAAACTATAAAGCAATAAAAATGGCCCTTACTTAAAAAAATACTCTCATATAATCCTATATGTATGGAGGCAAAATAAGAGTTAATATGTATTTTCTTTTAACCAACCATTTTAGTCTTCTTCTCAAAAAAATGTTAATGAATCTCTGTCATGGTGGTAACAATAAAATAATGTTGGGTAGGCCTAATAATTACAAAATATTTCCACATTCAAAACATGCCCAATGGATTAAATCTTAAATCACATATATACTGTATCCAATTTTATCAGTGCCACACCAAACGTTAAAAAAGTAAATACAATTGGAGATATTTTATAGGGCACAGCATATTTTACAAGTAAAAAGTATCAGCGAGAAAATGGGATTTGTTTGTTCAATTGTTTTTCACTTCATGGTCAAACAAAGAAAAACGGGATCTTGGTTAAAAAATATGTTGAATTTTTTCACCCATGATTTCGTACATTTACTATTTTATGTTTGAGAAACAAAACTATGATGAAAATCTTAATAATTTTTCTCTTCAGTCAAATTGATTTAAGGCTTTGAGATTGTCTTCCTAGGATCTGCTTTTCCGTTTCCTAGTACGGACAATATTACAATAAGCTAAGAAAAAAATAAAGACACTACGCTGATGTTATTTTACTGTATATGTTAAACAAAGAGTAAATAAAACTCGTCCACCCAGCTGCAAGTCACTCCGTTACATTAAGACGTGAGGGGTAGCAGACTAGTGCAGAGGTATGACAAGTTAACAAAATGTGTGATACATAACAGGTAAAATGATGAGAAAGTACTGTCAAGCGGATGTGCATAAAGCCTCATTCGTTTCATTCATTACAGACAGAGGCAAAACATAGGTTGTCCTGACATACGCGCGACAATGTATTCATATCGCTCAGAAATCGCTGTAATATCACGTTAAGGGTGTCTACTACATTCTGGATAAATAATTCATGGACAATTCCCGTACATTTAAGGACTTTTGTCGGTGTGATAACAGAATAATATTCCTGATTTATCAAACTGTATTAATCTTGTTCTTCATTGTAGTTGTTCCAGAGAGAAAAGTAAATAATAATAGACAAGAATTAAATTTCAAAATAGAAACTTATTGAAAGTAAACAAACATATACTTTAGGTACAGCTTTAATAGTGTAACAGAAAAACGCAATCATTGTCTCCTGCAATAGCGACAAAATCCTAAATATCTCCATCGGTCACGGAAACATCATAACATAGCTTATCCGATCCAGGCGGATTAATTTGGCATTATTCGCCCTGGCACAACGTTAGGTTCTCGACTACTTTTGAAAAAAAATCTGTAATGCATAATGAATGAATATATTGTAACTCGGTTCTAGGTACAAAATCGGTATGGTAAGCGTCTACCAGTAAGCACAGAGTAAGATTATTGTCTTTTCATCTGCAAAGTTAATATTGACACATAGCGATCATTAGTTAATCTTAGACTCAATTACATTTTCTTAGTATATTTTACAGCTCTTTCAAAGAGTCAAAATACCCAGGCCTAGGCCTAATTATTTAGGAGGGCCTATATAAACTGAGTAACAAACAATGAGGTTACAATATCAGCAAAGTCACTACAATATCATCATTCTAGTTCATAAGATTTAGAATGCTTAAAGCAATGCAACGCAATAAATTAATAAATATGGGAAATAAAAAAAATTTAAACCTGAACGCCAACAATGTACAAAGATACAGAAAATGCAATGAAATAATTTGAAACCAAGTAGGCCTACGTAGTGATAAAAAATTAATGCAAACAACAATGCTTGTGGTTTTGTCAATTGAAAGATAAAATATCCATAACAAAGGGGTTTAACTTACAAAATAAGACTGTAGATTAGTTACATGTTTTATATGAAACCGAAACCATAAACAGTTTTATGGCACTAGGCAATGGCCAGCGGCAAATTGAATGTTCAAGACGAAAATACAAGTAAGAAGTGAAATTTAACAGCCATTATAAAACCATTATTTCCATGATAAAATATGTTTCTAATATATGGGATATATGGGATCTAATAATGATTACTCTAGTAATAAATAAAGAAGTTGTAAAGAAATAAAAGTGATAAAACTTTTATGAGCTAAGCTACTACTGAGTCAACAGTTCTTGGAAGTACTTGATTGTCGTGATAAAATATTAATGGGTTTGAGACTGCTAATGGGGTTTTTATTGCATAATTACTCTAGTAATAAATTATGAAAATGTAAACAAACATCTGATAAACCTTTTGTGCTCCTAACCAACTAGCGATTGATAAAATTATGGCCCATTAAAAATTTAAGGACATAGTCTGGTATTTAAGGACAATTCCTGTACATTTCATGGCCAGTAAAAAATTAAGTACAATTCCCGGTTTTCCCGGTTGGTAGACACCCTGGTTACTTGAATTTCTGCAAGGAAGGTGGAATAACCGAATGTTGGATGATTGAGACTCTACTCTACATTCTCTGGCTTTAGTCGACTTATTGTTACAACTGGAGAAAATTGCTTACTTACCTGCTGAAGGGGACCCAGCCAAGACCTGAAACAACTCACATAAATATTACAATATTGTATGAGAAAGGGTAAAGACAAAATAACGCAATATCACTTCTCAACCTCGAGGCTTTATTTTTTTGTAGAATCGTTCCCATATTTACAATAATCAAACCAAAGACTCAATTTCTGTAAAACTACCGACTGTTCAAACAATAATAAAAGATAAGAACAATTTGTGATACTGCAATAACTTAAAGTATACAACTTGGTAATATCTGTCTCTTATTAACTTAACAAGATGATTGTTGAAAAGAGGTTAATCTTTTACAACTAAATGTAAAAAATGCTTAAATTACACATTAAATGTACTATAGCCTCCCTGAGTAAGGATTTTCAGTGGGAAATCTTAGTGACCATTGACAGTAGGTCCGTCATCTTCATCCTCTTCTTCTTCTTCTTCTCCATCGACTTCCATTTTACTGTCTTTTGAAGGTCCACCGCCTGAAAATATAAGTTCATTTTAAATTCACCCAGTTGCAACAAACTAACCTACTAGGTAAATTTCCAGTAGCTTTATTAGTTTTGGGTTTACTTGGAACCATGCCAAATGATATTTAAACCAGACAGAAATAATGTTTGGCCTTCACTCGACTAAAGTTTAATTTACAGTTTTTTATAAATGTTTTAAAGTAGGTTTAAAACGCTATCAGCCATTACTCCTAGCAAAATTCTCAATGATGTACCAACATTTTTGGTTCTAGCTTTTCCAAGCTAAGTGGTTATCATATATTTATCTCATAATATCTTCAATCAACAAGGCCTTGGTCCCATACTTCAGATCACTAAGAGCTTAAGAGTTGTGAATTTTAGATGTTTTAAGGAGAAATCATTCTTAGACGATAAATCTCTATAATATGCTATTTGAAACACATGCTATAGTTTTGGTATGCGAATCTACAGAATATGTTAATACTATATTGTTGTATTATCTTAAAGTATTTTGAAGTACATTGTTTAAGACAAGAGGAACTTGTTAGGCTTGTAGGACAAGTTTGAGGTAAATATTCCAGCTACCTCTGCCAGGGATTTGTCCGGCTTGCAGTAATCTGTTGAGTCGTTCCACTTCCTCCAATGACGAGGCGTTGGCAATAGCTTCCCTTATCTTCCACAGCTCTTCAGCAGACGGACCTAGAAGAATAACATACAATTAACATTGTGGGTTACATAATAAAGTGTTCTGACGTCAAGCAAAAAATAAATACCAAGCCACAGAATAAAAATTCGGCCTATATCGACACAGTATTTAAACTTAATATTGTTTACTAAATGGTCAGTTCCATGTAAAAAAATTGCACAAGTTAGGAGCATCACCAAAAGACTGGTTGCCAGAATTGTAAAAAATTAACACGGCAGAATTTTTTTCTGACACTGCACAAAGCGTTAAGGCCTATCTAGACATTTTTCAAATTTAATAAATTTACTCAAACTAAACTCCAACGTGATAGTAACCAATTATTTATGTGTGGTATTAAAGGGTGTTTGGCATTTCAACAACCTTTTTGAATATCTTTAAGGGTATGTCTTAAAATCTTTTTTTGAGAACAATGAAAATAGCAAAGAGGATAAAAATTGTTTGCTTTACAAATTTATATTCTGATTCTGCATATGATACTTAGGTAATTTATTAAAAATTGCTTAAAATTTTACACATTGAAAAAGGTAACCAGCTAATATAGGCTGAACAAAATTTTTGTTACTACAAATGTACGTCCACATTAAAAACATTGTAGAAGCTATCTAATATAGTGTTCATATTTCTTATTAACACGTTGAGTGCACGCCGGAGGTGCACACAGACCGGCCCAGCTAGGTCCCACCCTATACTGTGTGTTTCGCCCGCCGTTCCTGCGGACCGGTAAATTCCAACTTGCACAATTTATTCACTTTTGACTTTTATTGACGTATTTATTTTGTGTTTTTCCTTTATGACACAACAATATATTTCATTGTTTATTATTTTCATTTATGTGCCTTTTAATAAAGATAGACTCCCAATACCAAATTGTTATCAGCAGTTCAAAGATTAACTGTGATTGAAATAAATCGTTTTAATTTCACATTTTTAGTGTGAAAAACAGTGTTTTTGAGACCAACAATTAAGTATTTTCGTCAAGGTGCCCAAAAACTTTATTGCGTGGGCCGGCCCGGACACAAGGGACTGTCAATTTTGGAGGACGACATTTTTTTTTTTTAATGCTCAAAACACTATTTCTGATCTGGATCCTCACTCCTGGCAAAAAAGGTATGATTTTAAATAAAAAATCAAGTCCTGAGGAAGCACCCAATGATATTTTTACCGCACTCAATATGTTAAAAGACTGACCTTTTCATCACTAATGAACAGGTTCTACTGATGACAACTTACTTACCACTTCAATTGTTCTTAAAATTAAACCCCAAACTTTGTAACAATTCAATATTTCCACTTATGTTTTCTTTGTATCAATATGTCAATTTATCAAACCTTGTATAATATATGACCAAACAACTTACTTACCACTTCAATCAGTTCTTAAAATTAAACCCCAAACTTTGTAACAATTCAATATTTCCACTTATGTTTTCTTTGTATCAATATGTCAATTTATCAAACCTTGTATAATATATGACCAAACAGACCCTAGTACAATATACACAGATTCTAGTATAATATATACTAGTAATGGGTAATTGATTCGAAACAATATAATATAGAAAATGTTCAAATAACATAATTTCATGTAAATATATAATAGCCTATAACTTTTGTAACAAAAATTGCTTCAAATTCAATATAATTTTATTTAAATAACTTTTCAAAATTATAATATAGCTCTATAGCAAATGAAATTTGTTATAATATATACTAGTGTACATGTTGCTCAAATTTGAGCAATTGCAAAGTATTACAGGAGTTATTTCAAAACGAATAACAGCCATATTTACAATGAATTTAAAAGAGTCAACTCAAAGATTACCAGTGTGTAACTCAGACCATGTTTATCTTCGTTATTGATAAACCTAAAGCATTCCGGCCGGTTTTTGTCTCCTTCTCAAAATGCCTCGCTGTACAGGCAACACAGGTCATTGATAGAGGGCCAATTGAGAACGAAAAGTTGTTTTGTTTTGGGGTAGTGTTAGGGCGAATTTTTAACCTAATAGTTGAGCCTATTACGTGTCACTGTTCTGTAGCTGCGGTCGTTATCACGATTACGCCTCCTGTACATATTTCGTTGTAGTAGCGTCGGAGGCATTTAAAAGAAAAAAACAACAAATAAACAAATTATAGCTACACAAAACAACGATAAATGCACAAATTTAAGTTACAATCATGCTAACACGATCCTTCATAGCGACACAAAACAGCGATAAACACACAAATTTAAGATACAACCATACTAACACAATCCGTCTTGGGGGGTTATGTTTACACAAACTCAAATAGTAAATAAATGTACTCAATGCGTTTCATTGAATTGAAAAAAAAATAACAGCACTAAAATTATACAGCTGATCAAAATGTAAACAATTATGTTCTTCATAAGGATAACATGGGAACTTTCAAAGCCACTGGGGCAGAGCCCAACGGACTTTAAAAAAAAATGTAAGGCCAGTTTGCAAATCTACGCGACTCGCTCTTTCCAATGAGACTTCAATGGATAAAATCGGTTTAGAAATGGCGGAGGAGTTCAACCGACAAAGTTTCATGTAGCGTATTAATTATATAGATGTGCAAACAGTGGCCTACAATTTTATGTGATTAAGTCAGCATTGACATATGTGAGTGCAACAATGCATCAGACCTTCATCACTTCCTATAGAGCCAAGATAGTATGAAGATGTAAATTGGATACTACATATTTAATATCAAAATTTTATAAAAAAAGTACATTATTCTGACAAAATTAGTGGAATTTGTTGAAAGAAGACCCATCCTTGTTACGAACATTAATCATTTATAACATCAAGAATTTTACTACAAAGAAGACATCAATTTTGGTGAGATCACTTCAATAGACATTTTTCCCTTTGGAAGCCATTAAAACTTTTTTAGGCCTAACCTTTGGACATTTGTACTCAAATTCAAAGTCAAGAACTAATAGAAGCTTAACTTATTCAGAACTATTATTAATTCAACCAATCTATAATTCGAATATACTTTTTTTTTTAAAACAAAATTTAATTAGGCTTATATCACAAGATTAAATTCAAATGCCGCTCGATCACCCCACCTGAGATAAAGATCCTTGCATTATAACACTTGAACCTAAATTAAAACCATTGTAATAGGCCTAGCCTAAAGATTTTAAAGTAAATTCATTTCCCACTGTTTGTACAATTTATTGTGAACCCTTTTCTTTTCTTTTACTATCAGTTTTGTATTATAATTAATAAATTTAAGTTTCGATATTGTACACGGAGTTTCCATTGTAGACCTAAGTTAAAGGATGATTACAACTTTAAACTAGAAGACAAGATCACTTTAAACTAAACCACTCTTTTACCTAATCAATCACCAGTTCATACCATCTCTATGCTTTAACAACTATTGATCTGAAAGAATATTTAAACAGCTGACTGTAGTTGTCTCACCTGTTTGTTTTTTGGGTTCGGGTAGCCCAGCACCAGGAACGAATGTTTTTGCCTTTTTCGCAATTTCTCTCTGGATCTCCCGACCTCTTTTGCTCTTGAACAAAGTGACAGCTTCTTCTCTTTCCTGTAAAAAAAAAATTGGAATGATATATAGGCCTTGTATTAATAATAACCTATATTATTAAAATAATTTATTGGATTTTTGTAAGCAGCAAATCGACCCCTAAATATTTATTTGTATAGGCATATTTAGTATCAATTTAAAGCTCTTATCATCTAGATGTGCCTTTTGCGGGTTTGGATGATATCCCATAAAAGCCCTTCGTCCTATAGGCTTTTAAAATTTCAGAGTTTGTGATGAATTCTGTCTAAATTAACTGAACTTTATCTAGTTTACATTAATTTTGTTTACATCAAAACAGATATAAGCGTCTAGGCAGCCAGTGCAACTCCGAGGATCGTGGATCAGGATCAGATCGGAAAACCCCCCACCTCCGCTCCGTGCCGATGGCGTGACGTCAACAATTACCGCAACGATACGTAGCTGAGTCATGAGCCTTGGTGGTATAATGGATAGCGTGTCGGGCTGATAATCAGAAGGTACCGGGTTCTAATCCCGCTGGTAGCACTAACTTTTTGTCAACAATTTTTTCATATCAGCAAGTTTGGTTAGGTTATGACAGTTAATTTTATAATTAAAAAATTGAATTTGAGACATTTATAATTTTATTTTTAGTACAGAACTATTTTTTCGATTAGTAAACCTTCATTCGAGTTTTTCATTATCAGCAAGTTTGGTTAGGTTATGACGACAGTTTAATTATATTTCATTTAAATTTAACCTACCAACTATACGTTTTGACAGTGATAGTGATAGAGATAACAATTTTCCGTGAAAAGTTAGGCTATGCTGATGCGCCGGTATAATTCGGAAGCGTACGACATGGTGCGGTGGTGGGGGGTGTTCTGATCCACGATCCTCGGAGTTGCACTGGCTGCCTAGACGCTTGTAAAACAGATGGCCATGATACAATTTTATTTACATCTATATGAAAATGGGGTTACAGTTGGTGATGTTTTAGTGAGTTCAAGTAAAGTATTGTAATGATATTTGTATAAAAGGTAAAGAAGAAAATGACTTGCGTTAGATTTTGTGTTTTCATAGTATGGTTCATTAGTATTTGTAATTTTTCTAGGATGCCTCCAAGAGATTGCACACACAATAAAAATAAAAGGGCAGGCAATGCAAATAATAGGGATAGGATGAAAAATAATTGTTTTCACACATATCAACTATATCACAGATTTTGTAGTCAGGAAGTGACACTGGCTGCTAGTAATAATTATTATTAAGTTATCGGTACATGCGTATACAAAATCTAAATTAGAAAAAAAACTCATAACTGCAGAAAATTACAACAAAGGTTATACGTACGAATCAAATTCAAATATATTTATTAAAGATATTACGAGAGCTTACGAGAGATCGACGAGGTCCAATTGATGCATAAAGATAACAAACTACATTTTCATTGATCAACCCACATTATTTTGACATTGATTATATTAGAGTAGTTTTAAGGACTGGGAGCAAACATTTTGACTATAGAGGTTTGAACTAACTTATTTAAGGTTTGAATCAAACTCGCTCAAGCAAGTTCCACATTATTTCTTATGGCGATGGAACAGTACCCGCTGACATCTGTAATTTAACAATAAATCTTGGTCTAAGGCCAGTAATAATTGAGAACCCAGAGACCAAAAAATGAAGTAATCACACTCAAAATAGTATTATAATCTAAATTATTGTTCAAAACTGTACTAATCAAGTTACCTTTAATTTTATTTTCCTGAAATCCAATAACCTCAGTTTGGGGAATTTGAAAGCAACATATTGCCGATAATGCTGTTTTCCTGCTACTGGACAATGCATTAGACTCAGATTGGTCAGGTTAGGCAATGTTGCCAATGGATCTAAATCTGCCAGTTCTTGTAATAAATTTCCTGTGAGAATCAATGTTTCCAGGTTTGGAATGTAGTTTTCAAGTCCTTCAGCTATCCGCCTGAAACACACAGGAAGTTTTGGAGTGTGCTTATGGAGGTTTACATGGTGGGATAGGAAAGATTGTTGATAAAAAATTGTTTATAAATAGGAGCACCAGCACCAATATTTTACATAGTTTTGCTGAACACCACCTTAACTTATTTTTTATGGTTCAGTAATATACCACTAAACGTCAAATCAAATCAAAATATTCTTTATTTGTAGTTTCATTAAGAAAAAACAATGGCGTCATACAATAATATAACTTAAAACTTATACAATATATACCGGTACTTAAATGATTACCGTAGGTAACTAATCTGTTGAAATATGAATTTTCTCTGCTTTGGTTAAGTTAGGCTAAATTTGTCCGTTAATATGGTTTAGACATGAATTGCTCTCAAATTGTAAAAAAAAACTTAAAGTGCTGAAGTAAAAGAAAACATTTAAGTTGAAAATATAAATTAGCAAGGTCAATTAATTGGTACACAGTAAAAGCGTGTTGATCTGTCATCAATGTAATAAAAAAGTATATATGCTTTTCCAAGTCCATTCAGGTTTTCAGCAGAGATAGACGTTGGGAGCTATTGACTTGCAGGCCTCCATTTACTCAATGGAATTCAGAGACATGTTATTTATATATTTTTTAAGCTTTTTATATTACTGCTGAGATAAGAAAGAATCAAATAAAACGGAGAATAACGGCCTGCCAGCTATCAATTTTCTTTTGACGCTCTGAAATTAGCGGTTAAGATTCATACTTACACAACTCTGTTGTTATTTAGTAGAATACTTTTTAACCGTTTCAGTAACGGGAAGCCATCAAGTTTCCGGATATCATTATCTGACAGGTCAATGGTGTCAAACTGATCTAGAGTGGCACCCAGATTTTCTATTACAGGTATCTTGTATCCTGAAAAAAAACAAGGTCATGACATATATTCATCATTAGCCTACTAAACATGTGTAGGTAGCGGTATTACTGGTAGTCCCTCGTAGATGCACCCCAGCAAAGAACTGGGCAAAACAAAATCAAGTAGAGCAAGGACTGCTGCCATTGCAGTAAAATATTGATTTTGGAAGCATCATCAAAATTTCAGAGAAGCAGCTATAATGAAGCTTTTTGCTTATTTTTTAAGCTACATTTTTTAGAGTAGAACTTTGATAAATCTTTGATTTGATTCACTAACTTAAGATTGGCCTACATTGTATATATACAACTAGGGTACAGTTCCGCAGAGAACCTGTGGTATAATATCGGTTTGATATATCGCTTCTACATACTTTTTCCTGATATAAACATAGAATTGAGTAATGAGAAATGAGTAAGAATTGAGTCTGTGCGTTTTTATTGGTGTTAAATAAAAATGTAAATATCAAATTGAGTAAGTTAATGGTCTGTTTACTTTTAATTGATGTTTAATAAATAAAACTAACTTAACAAAGTTATCCATAAGCTAAGTTATTCAATCAAAAACAAAATATATTTTAAGAACCAACGTTAATAAACAAACAATAACCATTTAACCAATAATAAACCATAAACAATAATCTATTGATATGATTACCGCATAGAGTTAGAAAATTTAGGCCTAAAAAAATAGAAAAAATAGGCCTATGGCTTCTTCCATCTTTAGCCTTATAATTTAGGATGAAACCAATAATTAAACAGAAACAACTTTATTTATGTTTTTACGGTACCGGTAGGCTTAGGCCTATTATTTTATTTAAACTATATGAACTTAACTTAATATGGTAAAATTAAATTCAAAGCAATAATAATAAAAAACTACTGAATTGTAATCAATAACTTAAAGGATAGTTATTCAATGTATCAATGTTGTATCTCAGGAACGAATTCAGCGTCTTCCAGGTCGAGGTGGCTCAAGAGTAACGAAGAGCACTCTCGAAATTTATTGACAGTGATATTACGGGTCAATAGAAACGCGACGCCAGGAAATATCACTATGCGCACTTGATAGAGGGCAAACACACTTTTAGCCGGGTAAAGCGGCCAGATGATGTTAAAATACTACTAGAACTAAATAAAGACCAAGGAACTAACCAATATGGATACTGTAAACCAGAGGGATTTTCTATTTTACAATTTGGAAGATGACATTATCTCAATGTGTTTTCGAAGTGAATTTGTCTATATTCAAAGAAATGTACACGTCTTTTATTAATAGTCATGAACATTACTATTGAAAATGTTCCTTACTTGTATTATGAATAGAGAGTTTATATTATAAATACACCGCATGAACAGTCCTTTGGAATTTTTATTTTTAACGGAGCAGACATCAAAATTCTTTATACAGCTATGTAATAACTATCCTTACATATGTATATAGCCTATATATAAATGTTAAACAAAAATCAAGGTAGGGTAACTCATGAGACTAATAATTTGTACAAAATAATTACTACTGGAATATATATATGCCACTAGTAACGTCATATTTCTGAAACTTGACAAAACAAAAATTGTTGTAAATAACTCAAAAATTTCGAAAACACAGATTTTTTAACTTTTTGTGATATAAATTTAACAAACTGTGTAAAATTTTGAAACTTTGTAATTTAAAATTTGACAATACTTTCTTAAGTTTGATAGGGTTCTCGTCCAAATTAAACGAGCCGTTTCGAAGGTGTGGGTGTGATACCGTAAACTTGAGTCTACACTATTTTTGCATGGGCAGTAGTTGTAGGAAACCAATGTTTTCAGGAAAGTACCCGCACTCCTCCCCGCGCCCATCCCAGTGCTCGCCAATCCATCTGTCAAGATCTGTGGCGACCCTTGTACCAACCCAAGTCCACAGTGTCACTCACTACACTGGTCTAGTCATTCGGCTGTGCGCATTGTCTACTACTAGCCCTTGTTTACAAACAAGGGCTGGCAGCACTGTTACACTATCCACGTGACAGCGGTTGATCTCAGGTGACACATTGGACAAAAATTGTTTGGACCCTTAGTTTTTCATTGAGAAATTAATAATAATGGAACTGGGAAAAATCGTAAATTAACAACAGTAAAAACTCCTTTATCTGGAGGTCCAATACCTCCGGGCTTTAGATGTACTTTAATTAAATGATATGTTAATAGCCACTGCCACAAAAACTCTTCTCTACTGTGAAGGAATGAACTGAGTGTTTATTAGTGTGAAGCCCCGCCCACCGTTTAACGGGACATGGGGTCGGAGAAGAGAGAGTTAGGCAGATTTTGCCGTCGTTCTAAAGGCTGGTTCACATGGGGACGCGGAAAGGTCGCCCCCGGAAACTTCACCCCCCTACGTCATATTGACGTCAGAGACCGGGGGTGATGTTTCCCGAGCGCCGAGTCTCCCGAGCGCCACGTCTCTCCAGCACCGAAAGGGTTACCTGGCATAATCTGACAGTTTTGACAGTCGAATTGGAATTTACAAAAGCAACGGACCGCAGTAAAGTCGTGTGCCCAATTGAGCATTGTAGGCGGGTAGGCCTCGATCAGCAGTCTATCTTGAATTTAGCCTTATATTACTAGAATGATTTGGTTTAACCACAGACAATAGACCATTATACTTTGTCTTTGGGTATACTTTGTCTATGGTTTAACATTACAAATCAAATCCAGTAATATAAAAAGCGGCCTTCTGGCTTTTTTATTTAATCACTTTTACATAAACAAAATTATGAACAACAAATGTTGAAAAATGAATACACACTTTAAACAAATTAAGGAACTATAGGAACTGATTTGTAATAAAGTTAAACCAACAAATAAATATACCTATTCATTATTCTCCGGGGTAAGAAATTAAACAGGAGGTTAAGAACATGTCCTCTATCAAGTGTGCATAGTGGTATCTGGTGTCGCGTTTCTATTGACCCGTAATATCACCGTCAATAAATTTCGAGAGAGCGCTTCGTTACTTCTCAGCCACCTCACCCTGGAAGACGCATAATTCGTTCCTGAGATACAACATTGATACCGTGGTATGCGTGAACATGTCCTCTATCAAGTGTGCATGGTGGTATCTGGCGTCGCGTTTCTATTGACCCGTAATATCACTGTCAATAAATTTCGAGAGTGCTCTTCGTTACTCTTGAGCCACCTCGACCTGGAAGACGCAGAATTCGTTCCTGAGATACAACATTGATACCGTGGTATGCGTGAACATGTCCTCTATCAAGTGTGCATAGTGGTATCTGGTGTCGCGTTTCTATTGACCCGTAATATCACCATCAATAAATTTCGAGAGAGCGCTTCGTTACTTCTCAGCCACCTTGCCCTGGAAGACGCTGAATTCGTTCCTGAGATACAACATTGATACCGTGGTATGCGTGAACATGTCCTCTATCAAGTGTGCATAGTGGTATCTGGTGTCGCGTTTCTATTGACCCGTAATATCACCGTCAATAAATTTCGAGGGAGCGCTTCGTTACTTCTCAGCCACCTTGCCCTGGAAGACACTGAATTCGTTCCTGAGATACAACATTGATACCGTGGTATGCGTGAACATGTCCTCTATCAAGTGTGCATAGTGGTATCTGACGTCGCGTTTCTATTGACCCGTAATTAATAACACCGTCAATAAATTTCGAGAGAGCGCTTCGCTACTTTTCAGCCACCTCGACCTGGAAGACACAGAATTTGTTCCTGAGATACAACATTGTTACCGTGGTATGCGTGAACATGTCCTCTATCAAGTGTGCATAGTGGTATCTGGCGTCGCGTTTCTATTGACCCGTAATATCACCGTCAATAAATTTCGAGAGAGTGCTTCGCTACTTTTCAGCCACCTCGACCTGGAAGACGCAGAATTCGTTCCCGAGATACAACATTGTTACCGTGGTATGCGTGAACATGTCCTCTATCAAGTGTGCATAGTGGTATCTGGCGTCGCGTTTCTATTGACCCGTCATATCACCATCAATAAATTTTAAAAGGGCGCTTAGCTACTTTTCAGCCCCCTCGACCTGGAAGACGCTGAATTCGTTCCTCAGATACAACATTGATATCGTGGTATGCGTGAACATGTCCTCTATCAAGTGTGCATAGTGGTATCTGGCGTCGCGTTTCTGTTGACCCGTAATATCACCGTAAACAGATTTCGCGAGAGCTCTTCGTCACTTTTCTGCCAATCAGCTGTGGTACAGCTGTAGCCAATTTCAGCTGTACCTATTTATTCTTATAGTTATTCGCCTAATTTACCCACTATTAAAATTAAAATATTACATTAACCCTCCGAGTGTCATGCGTCGCTGCAGCGACGCGTAACGCACTTTGTATAGTGTCGTGCGTCGCTACAGCGACTCGCGAACACTGTTTACGGCGAAGGCTCTATGACTAACTGAATCGGACTGTACTGGATTGAGTTAGGTATCGTTCTTTCCGTAATATTCTAAGCTTTCTCCTAGGTCTGTCTCTAAGCACTATTCATTTTAGTTCCGAAAATATTGTAGCAGACAGCTGACTGAGCTGACGCTGACGTGCGTGTATTTGTAAACAGCTAGGTTACCCTCGGACCGATGACTGATGTGTTTTATTACATTTATCATTGTTTTAGTGTTAAAAATCAAAAGTAGTGATATACGTGGTGCATTATAAGAAGATTTAAGTGGTTTTGAAGTGCTGGTTGATGATCCTGAAGAAGTAGGTAGTGATATTGATGTAAATTATCAGCCAGATTCCTAGCTATGGTTGGGCTATGCATTCTTAGCTAAACGCTATGTACTGAAATCTGTTTTTTGCCCATAACTTATTTATTTGCAAATCTACTTCCTTATATTATTATATATTTGTAATCCTCATAAAATTTAGAACAAAGTGGCTATTTTCAAATATTTATAGGCCTATAATTTATACAATTTCATTGAGCGCAAACTTATTTTTTTTTTTTAATTTTCAAAATTATACATTTTTTTTTACCTAAAAAAATTTTTTTAAAAAAATCTTCCTTATGTTTTATATATAATATTGAAGCCCAAGATTTTCCAAACAAAATGGTATATAGAACAGTATAATTAACATTGTTTTTAAGCTTCTCAGATCAGTTTTAATAAAATCTTGCAAATGAGCAAAAAATAGGCTGACATTAAGGCCAAAACACGTGACACTCGGAGGGTTAATATTCAAATCCACTCCAAGTATCTTTAACTCAGGCAAACCATAGATAAAACATATAGTCTATGGTCAAACGTTGAAATAACCTATAAAACGTATACCGGAAAAGAGTACAATAAGGAGAGAGAGCGCGCGCGCGCCCTACTGTTGGCCTTGAATGGCGAGACCGCACGCACAGGCGCGCGCTAGTTATTGGTGAGTTATTGGCAGATTCACATCAATTAACTCGATCCAGTTCAATCCAATTCAGTCAGTCATAGAGCCTTCGCCGTAAACAATGTTCATGTGTCAAAAAAATCGACAAGTGACACTACACAAAGTGTGTCGTGAGTCGATTTTTCGACAAGTGACGCTCGGAGGGTTAATCAAATAAAAATATCAATCGATCGTTTGGTTAGTTACGATATATCGCATGAAATAATCAAATAAGAATATCAATCGATATTTTCATTCAGTTGTTGGTTCAGTTGTTTTTGACAACAGATATAAAAGTCTACCCAGGTCTCTTCAGGCAGAATCGTTCTAGGCCCAATCAACAAGGATTTTTTTAGGAAAGGGGCAGGAGTTTGCATTCTAGGCTAACAGCTAATGGCTGGGAACCATATCATTTAGACCAGCTCCGGGCGTAATTCAATGCCTGAACCCCAACTAAGCATGTGGCACTAGCCTATTCTAGTCTAGCCTAATAGCATTCTAATAGCAACCTAAGTTATATCAATAAATAACAACAGGAGGAAAGCTAAATAAAAATATAGCTTACCTCTTAGATCCAGCTCCCTATCACGGATAGGGTTTATGTATTGATGTGATTGAGCAATCAACTCTGGCGTTAGTTTAACCATGTTGTTTTGAGGTTACAAAATACAACACATAAACTGTACTTATTTCAATATAGATCAAGGAATTTCCAAGTGGGTCATATCACATAAACAAAAATACCACCATTATCTAGAAAAGAAATATGTGGGCCACAATTAAATCAAACAAATTCAGTGGTATAACTTAACTTAGTAGGCCTACTGTAGTACAATCAATCACAATCTCGAATCTCCTCAACCCAACCAAACGCCAAACGGCAAAGCAAAGCAAACGCAAACAAACACACAGAGACAGAAAGAAACAAACACAATATTACAACTTTACCCACAATGGAATCGCAATTCGCAAAGGTTGGGTTGAGTGAGGTTGCCGGTTGGCGTATTCGTATTCCCGTATTCTCTCTTCCTGGAGTGGAGTGGAGTTGAAGTTGGTGTTGAAGTTGGAGTTGACGAGTGAGGACAGCCGAAAGCGGCCGAAAGTGGCCGAAAGGCATTCTCAATCTCAACAAAGGCAGGCGATGCAAGCGGCTGGCGGCTGCGCTATAAAGCTCAGTTGTTCTAGTCACCATGTCGACCGCGGGTCCTCGTTACGTTACTCTGCCCTCAGCATTTTACCTCGAGGAGTATGTTTTATCTATGATTTTACTTTCTCCCCCTATACAAATAGTATATGGAGCAAATTATTTTTTCATAATATTTTTAGTTTTGGGTGGATATGTTTTGGGTCCCCCTGAACCCAAATAAGTGGTTTTCGAAGTGATTTCTGTGTGTGTCTGTATGTGTGTGTGTGCTACAAACTACAATTAATATAAATAAAAAGGTTAAAATACCTTAATTGTCGCCTTCTGGTCCAAGGTTTGTCCTACTGGATTATGCGCATTTCGGCACGAGCGTCATCGTCAGATCGGTATATGAACTATAACTAATCTTCCCTGAAGAGGTGCGTTGAAGGTTCACAACACAAAGACACTGGTCGACCATTATTAACATAGTTTTACTTTTGTCGGTTATTCATTGTCAATCAATTGGTCCGGAAACAAGACAACAAAATTGAAGTACAAACTACACACCTGACCTGTGGCAAGGCCCCACTAGAAAAACAGGCCATGCTGCAGGATCCATGACTCACACTAGTGGACTAGATTTCATTGATAAATTCATTGCTATCACTATTCCCATATGTTTCCCATGTTCCCATATTTAGGCAAATAAACAAGCTGGTTGTTTGTAGGATTTTAATGGTAAGAGTTTAGTACGTACAACTATCCACCACTGTGACGTGTAGTGTTGCGCTGCCCGTGCTGCAGCATGGCCTGTTTTTTTCTAGTGGGGCATTGCCTGTGGTCGGATTTTAATGAAATTTAGTATGTAGGTCCTAATCTCTGATATCTCCCAGCGTTTTTTTTAATTTTCTGAAAATTCGATTTGTAATGGTGATTTCCCCCTAACGATTTCAAAATAGCCCAAAAATTTTGATTAACTGTTAGTATATTATGGTCCTTTTCAACTCTTAAAAATTACTGTTCAGTATCATAACTTAAGTGATTTTCCAATATAAGTAATGAAGGAAAAATTGGATTTTTGAAAACAACGGCTCGACCGATTTACTATTTCAACTTGTTTTGATTTCCTTCATAAAATATCATAGTTACTCCAATGTTTACCCATGGTGGAAGGACAATTTTTTCCTTCCACCATGGTGTTTACCCATGTAAGCCCAGTGAGTAAGGTCCCCCAAGGGTTGCCGACAAGCTAATGGGAGAAAACATGTGTCAGACCGCTGATACTGCTTATTAACTTTTTTATTTATCATTTATTATTATTTTTTAATATTATTTATTAAAAATGCCACTGGCGTGGGGGACTTAAAAAAAAAAAGAGAGAGTTTTCTTTATGCTCATTTACTAATTTTTCACAACTTTGATTGAAACATATTTTTTTTCTTCTAAGCTTATGTTTTAGTTCTTATTTTGAAAAATATCTTTCAGTTAATCCCAAAAATTATCAACATCTTGGGACATGGGACATCTTGGGTTATCAACATCTATTAATAACTCAAAGTTTCAATTGGAAATTCTGTACAAAATCCTCATTAGCGAATTTCCCATAGAGGAATTAAGCTATTACCGTAGGTCTCATGGTAAGACCTAGACTAGGGACCAATTTACTTTTTCATTTTGAGGTCCCCAGAGGCCAAAAACACCCTCCATTGCTCGATTAAAATATATTTATATATATGTGTCCGTTAGCGTGATAACTCGAGCAAATACATGGATTAGATTTTAATTAAATTTGGTGCAAACATGTAAACCTACGTTTTTTCGAACGAGTTCGCTAACCAGCATGATCGGACTATGGGAATGGGGGTTTATGGGGTGAAAATTAGTTTTCCCATTTTTGACCCTAAAAACATAAAATTTCACAATTTCTTTCCATACCATTTTGTAGAGCTAAAAAAAGAAATATACTTGTATATTGAAGCGTTGTTGTATGCCTAACGGTTAAGGATAATATAAAAAACTTTAAATTTAAAATTAACATGTTATTCCTATGGGAGAATAAATAAACTGTTGTAATTTGCTTGTTTATGGATATACTTTGATGAAATGTTCTAAGCTATCAACATTTCAATAAAAAACACACCTTAATACCTTAATTGTAGCATCAAACCTATAGGTACTCATTAAAATTAATGTTATTCAAATAGGAAATAAATCTGACAATTTTCCGGGAATATTTTAGTAGAAATCCAGCTAAATGGAATTTTGCTTAGGTTTGCTGCGACGTTATTTTCCAATTTCCCATAGAGAATATGCTATTATACCGTGTAGGTCTAATGGTAAGACCTGGACCCAGGACCGAATTTACTTTTTTTGTTTCAATGTCCCCAGAATCCTATTCTCCGTTGGAACATAAATCTTTACAGATAGATTTTTAAATTTTCCTTTTAATCTTCATAACACAGCCTCAAATTAAACTAGAGTATCTACAGCAATCTTTTTATTTATGACAAATCCCCCTCCATCTCTACCACTAGTATAACATGAAACTTCCAGCGCTATATATTCCATTAAATGGCCACCTAATTTCCTACAGGGATAGGCTACCACATCCATTTTGTACTTTTTCAGTTCTAGCTGCCAATGTCACAGCACCTGGTACCGCCAGAGAGCGAATGTTCAAGCTTCCAAATCTCAAGTCCTTATGATGCAGATCCTGTCCGAGGCATTCCATACCTGGTTGTTTTACAAATGAGAGGGTGGTTAGCCCTTCGCCTCAACCCCCAATATGAATCGAGGACCTACTTCTGGTCAGCGGGTCCATCGGACCTAGCCAGGAGATCTGACAAGCAGATCCACCGACCATCCCCCTATTCGCCACCCGGGGACGCTCCGTATACGCTGAAGTAGGAAAGCGCACGAATACTTTATTACTTGATACATAAAATACTAACACTAAGTAGCCTACAAAAGATACTTAATACTAGATACATGGAATACCCTACTTAATACTAACAAGCTGGTTCAGAGTATGAGACTCTCATCTACTTCAATTCATCTTCTTCAGGCCTTTTCCTTTTCCTGTCCCCACTTGTCTTCAATCGGCTCCAAATGTTGATGCAGAACTCTTCAGTTTCTTCCTCTTGAAGTTCCTATGATTCAATCTCCTCATCCATAGTTAGTTGCATTGCATTCATCTCCTTCATTTCATCTGGTTTCTAAATAGGTTTTCTATGGCAAATCCTTTGGCACTTAACTTTAAACAATCCTTTCCACTATGTGGACCCTTTTTGTTAAACTGAAGCAATACAATATCATAGACCTCTTTGTAGTTCTCTAATATTTTATTTGCCCCAGGAGTTGCTACTGGCTGCTCAGTGATCTTCTGATCGTTCAAGTAGGAACAGTGACAAAAACAGAACGGAATTCTCCCGTTCACTGGTGATTTATCTTCCAGAACTGGCTCTACTTTGTCTGGAATGGAGCGAATATTCTTCCTAAAAATAATTTTGGCAGGAGGAAAAATTTCATCTTGCAATTTATTGTGTCAGAAAAAAGTGAATTAACTAAATAAATTGTTTCTATGGAAACATAATTATTACTTACAACATGCTGCTGTTCAAGAACCCTTAGACCTTTTACAATGGATAGATCTAGCAATTCCATTATAATATAAAGTTGAAGCTAAATTTAGAATGAAAAACATATTTATTTAAATCGAGACTTCAACATGGGTCTCACTAATCTAGAATCAGCTGCTATGCTATCAGCTTAATAAGACCGCAAAATTTGCAGCTGGCCCCGCCGTATTTGTCAGTGGCTGGCGAAGTCTGACATTGTCCACCTTTCATAGCAAGACAGCGGCGACTGGCAGATCACTCACACTCGCTGAAGCCAGCTAAGCGTAGTCTGACCACTTCTAGAAGCATGCTAGCGGCGAACAAAGCAACACATTTTTTCAATGTAGCCTACTTGTTTTGTTTTACTGGTTCTGTTTATCTGAGTTTATTAGTAATTTGTTGCTTTGAAATGATTGAGCTACAGAGTAAATCAGGGATATGGGGGAGCAGGTTAAATGTTTTTATTTATTTCAAAATTATCTGTGCTTGTGGGCATAGGCGCCCACAAGGGGGTGCATTGTGGAAGGAGGTGCACCCCCTGGCTAATAAAATAAGAAATAAATTTAATAGCTAGAATAAGAATGTTCTGTGTAATTTTACAGTTTTTATAATTTTCAACGTTGGCATGATAGACAACTTATCTTTCTTGATGCACAATATACTATTTTAAATGTTTATTTGGTAGGCTTTATTAGTTACCAAATAGAGTTAAAATTTGTTTTGAAACACCATGTTTTCACAAATTTTGGGGAGTGCCCCCCCAGAACCCCTGTAAGTTCAATCTATTGCACTCCCCTGTTCATTTCTTCAAACGTATTTAGATAGTAACGTCAAAGAAGCAGCTTACAGAGAGTTGTTGCACCCACCAAAGAACCTTGGTAAGTTTTAAGACCAAGGTTCTGCTTTAATTTCTAGAGAACTAAAAAGAGTTTCTTACATTCAAAAGGAATCACCACAATTTGTTCATCACCATGCAAACACATCTCAATTAAAATCCCAATCCCGCTCTACTCAAGTAGAACGCTACAATCAAGCTATTTGGAAAACAGTGTCACTATAGTTTTACTATAACTATCTATAGTAAACTGGTGGAAACAGTGTGAATATGTTATTCCTGATGCTTTACACTG